CGGATCTGATTGACATCTACAGCGCCAGCTGGGGTCCCACTGATGACGGAAAGACGGTGGACGGACCGAGAAATGCCACCATGAGGGCCATTGTCAGGGGCGTCAATGAGGTAAGAGGAGTAGTGGTAGTGGAAGAGAAAGAGAGGCGAACATCAGCTGATGCCTGTTTGCTTTGCACGACTACTTTGATCTCCAGGGTCGAAGAGGTTTGGGCAACATCTACGTTTGGGCGTCGGGCGACGGCGGCGAGGACGACGACTGCAACTGTGACGGCTACGCAGCCAGCATGTGGACCATCTCCATCAACTCGGCGATCAACGACGGACAGAATGCACACTACGATGAGTCCTGCTCCAGCACACTGGCTTCCACCTTCAGCAACGGCGCCAAGGATCCTCACACCGGAGTGGTAAGGGATTTGTTCTTATAAGGTGTTGTATGATGGTGTCATAACTCATTCTCTTGCAGGCCACCACTGACCTGTATGGCAAGTNGCTTGTTGTATGATGGTGGCATAACTCATTCTCTTGCAGGCCACCACTGACCTGTACGGTAAGTGCACCAAAACGCACTCGGGCACCTCGGCAGCGGCTCCCGAAGCCGCCGGCGTCTTTGCACTGGCTCTGGAAGCAAAGTAAGTCGAGTGGAACATTTAGTCAAATTCTCTTTTCACTCTAACCTTTCCTTCCATCTTCTTCAGCCCGAACCTGACCTGGCGAGACATGCAGCACCTGTGCGTGTTGACCTCTAAGCGGAACTCCCTGTACGACAGCAAAAAGCGCTTCTTCTGGAACATGAACGGCGTCGGCCTCGAATTCAACCACCTCTTCGGCTATGGCGTCCTGGACGCGGGCGCCATGGTCGCCCTCTCCAAAATGTGGATCAGCGTGCCGCCCCGCTTCCACTGCGAAGCGGGCGCCATCATCGAGACGCACCCCATTCCCTACAACAGCAGCAGCCTCTACCTGACGATCAACACCGAGGCCTGCGCCAAGAGCGACACCGAGGTAAACTACATCGAGCACGTCCAGGCGGTGATCACGCTGAACTCCACGCGACGGGGCGACGTCACACTCCACCTCATCTCGCCCATGGGCACAAAGTGAGTGTCCATATCTCATCCGAATCTAGAACCGAACCTAAACTAACCTCTTTCCCCCTCCCCATTTTAGGTCAATGATCCTGAGCCGAAGGCCAAACGACGACGATCACCACGACGGCTTCGTAAAGTGGCCCTTCATGACCACCCACACCTGGGGCGAGAATCCGCGCGGCGTGTGGAAGTTGGAGGTGCAGCACAGCGGTCCCACCGAGCAGAGCGGCTTCATCAAGGAGTGGACGCTGATGGTGCACGGCACCAAGGAGCAGCCCTACAAGAACCTGCCCGTGGAGGACAACAACTCGAAGCTGGCCATCGTCAAGAAGGCTCACGAGGACGCCTACAAGAAGCACCGTCGCTAAGGCAAACAGCTGCCGGAAGAGCCGGAAAGGGACACGCAGAAGAAGAACAGACGACGACGACGACGACGATGATGATGATGACAAAGAAGAAGAAAAAGAATATCGGGGCGATCATCACCTCCAACTCCAACTCCAATTTCACCACCACCACCACACAAACACCTGCTGCTGCTAAAACTGCTGGTCATTCAGTCACTCTCTCTCTCTCTATCTCACCCTCTCTCTCTCTCTCTCTCCCTCGCAAACACTACACTTTCTCTCTCTCTCCCAAAGGCAACACAGATAATTTTTTCTAACAGTGCAAACACACCCACACACCTACACACAAACACAAACATATTATGAAATGGCAAACACACGAGACCTCTCCTCTCCTCTCTCTCTCTCGCTCTCTCTCCTCTGATAGCTGTCAACCTCTCTCTTTATTACTTATTCTATCTATTGATATTTTTCGCCTATTTTATTTTCATTCAAACTGAATTTAAAATTTATTCATTGTTGTCAAAGAAGATGAAGTGAACTCTCGGTTGCTGGTGAACCTCTGATCAATGAATTTATATTACTATATTTTGTGTGTCGGTGATTTGGGCGCGAACTGTTTCGCTAAACGTTTTGTTTGACAGACAGGTTCTTCTTCAAAATTCAATTTGACAAAAACGAATAGGTGCAGTAGAATAGTGCAATACTAGTTGACACACAAAAAACATTCAGAAGAAAAAAAGACGGTGATGATACGATGCTCTATATACAGGAGTAAAAGTGTGCCGCAATTTTCACAAAGAAGAATTACTTCTTTGCAAAGGTAATCTTCATAGCATGAGTCGGAGATACCTTGAAGCCTTGTAGAGCATCCTTTGNTTCAGAAGAAAAAAAGACGGTGATGATACGATGCTCTATATACAGGAGTAAAAGTGTGCCGCAATTTTCACAAAGAAGAATTACTTCTTTGCAAAGGTAATCTTCATAGCATGAGTCGGAGATACCTTGAAGCCTTGTAGAGCATCCTTTGCCGCCGCCGAGTGGTACTCGGTGTCGAACTCAACAAAAGCAATATCATGTCGACCGGGAACGAGACGTACCTCCTTGAAACCGTGAAACTGTGCAAAGAGAACCTGGACCATCTGATCATTCGTCTCCGGCGGTAGGTTGGTAAGGAAGAGAATGTGATGAGGCGGCTGCTCCACTAAAGCAGAGTGTGGAATACCGGCAGCATTGAGGCCACCGTTGTTGCTGGGGTTGGGTCGTTTTTCCTTCTTCTTCTTCTTTGGCTCATCGCTGCGAGGCAACTTTGGCCGTTCTGTGTAGGTGCCCTTCATCTTTGAGATGGCATCAGAGTCGGCCTTGGCAAATTGAATTGTCTACAAAAAGGGAACAACAGTGAGCAACCGTTTCTACTAAGTTTTAAGGACAAAAGTTACCATGGGCTTGTCGTAGAAGGGAAAGCCCTGCATCGACCGGATGGCATTGTTGGCGCTGGAAATGTCCTTGAAGATGACAAACGCCTGGCCGCGCATCTTTAGCGTCTTCTTTGCGTGGATGTCCACAATGGAGCCAAACTGCGAGAAGATCGCGTGCAGTGACTTTTTCAACTCTGAAAAACAAA